AATTGTGTTCCTTCCGGTCTGCTTAATGGCTTTCTTTTACAATACGTTTGGGTCCTGCACGATTACAGTTCCTTAATGAGAAGTTCTATTGATCTGTTCTGAAAAAATATTCTAGACATCTTTAGGAAGTTTTTCTGGTGAGATATAATTGTTGTTAAAATCCCAAATCGGTTTTGTTTGGAAAAACATTTTTTTTGGGCTGTCGAACATAAGTTTTTTAACATCCATTTTTTATTTAATAAATAGTTAAATGGACCTTGAAAAAATAGTGTGAAGAATTATTTAAATATTACATCACAAAAAGAAAAAATATTTCTTCATTGCATTGCTATTTATTGATTCGATATTTGTTCAAGTATTCAATATTGAATTGAATTATCTTTTTAAAATTGTCTTGGTAAAATATCTTTCAAAAATATAACATTGGTAGGGACTTTATTCAAATGCAAATAATTTGGGTCCTTTTGATCTATGTCAATATTAAGTGAAAATATTTTCATAATCGGTTTTAATTCTTTGTTTACTGTTTAAAAATACGATTACATTAGTATTTATTGATTTTTTATTAAAAACTACTTTTATTTAGAAACCTAGACGCTCATTATACATTTATTTTTGGTTTCCGACATCTATTCAGTTATCCTCAATATACGAAAATTAACATTTTAATATTTTTTTTCAAATATTCCACAAAAAACATTTGTTTTCCTCCTTAAAAAATTCTAAATCCTCCGTAAAACAATTTAAATACACCATCATCCATCCAACACCAATACAGTTTGATCCTGTTGCAAATAACATGAAATAGAAAATTTTCTACTCAAAACTCCTACAATTATTGTCACTAAGAAAAATAAGAAAACTCCAACCTCCCTCAACATGAAATACATAACAAATCCCTTTTCATTGAGTAATGAGTAAGTGAGTGCATTTTCCTCAATTTCCCCTGCGTATGAAAGAAATGCACTACAATTCATTTGTGAGTCCTTTAAGGAGAAAGTAGTACCTATTTCATGTTTTCTTTTCAAACGAAATAGGGGAAATTTCCCAAAAACACCGAACGAAGAAATGTATTGTTTGCCAAAACAGAAGAGGAAAACTTCACTCAGACACCATCAAACAACTTCAATTTCTTCTTGTGGATGAAACAACACACCAATTTTTTACCTAGCCCAATAGACAATAGTGACAACAACAATAAAACACACTAGGAGGAACAGTACCGGCTTTATTGTTTTTTCCATCCACAAACAACAATTCATTTCCTCCTTAGAGCCGAGGCAAAGACACACAAAATGAATAGCATCCACAAACAACAGCGATGTGAGAGAGAGGGAGAACATATGAGAAATATGGATGGTAAAAGAGAGGAGAAAAAGGTGTTGCCACATGATTCCTATATTTATAGATGAGAATCCCGTAAGAATGTGCTAGGGGAAGTTATTACATGTTAAAATAACACCGCAACAATGGAAAATATGTTTCAAAATATTTTTTATGGAATTATGAGTCTAAGTACTAGGGAATTTTAGGATATACAAATCTTTCAGATTAATAATGGTATAGTTTTTAAAGATTTTGAGCGCAAAAATAGTATTAGTTAAGAGAAAGTTTTTAAAAAGAATTATTGTTTTAAACGTGTATACACATATATTGCCAACAAATGTTTTTGGGGTCGGAAGAGTTGAAATTGCTAGATTGCTAATATTTTTTGAGTCAACTGGAATGGCCTGGAATTGCCATTGATAAAATAGTGAATTTAAGCAATAATTGCATTTTTATAGGATTTGCTTTAGACCACTTAGAGGAGAAATCCGAGCAGTACTTATGTTTCAATTTATATGTATTTCTCGGATTTCTATTCTAATGACCTGTGAATGTTGTGAATTTTCTAAATAATTTTTTGAGATAATGTCATCGTCGTCGATTTTTTTAAAATATTTTTCATGGGTTCTTGGACCAAAATATTATTTTTAAGAATTTCAAATTAAGAGGTTTCATAAACCAACAATATTGCATACCTTAAGATTTAGTTTTGAGGGACATTTTGAGGTCCTGAGATCAAAAATCATTTAGTTGAAAACTGTTATAATAAGCACTGAGAGCCATAAAACCAATACTAGGAGATTATTGAGGATTTTTTTTTGAAGACTTTAGACCAAAATGTATATTTCTTTAGGATAATTGTTGAAGATGTTCCTACAAATAATCATAGATTTAAGTTAAGATTGTGACAAAAAATTTCACCTTAAAGACACTTTTTAAGATCTTTGAAGTTTTTATACCCTCCACCATACATGGTAAGGGGAATATTAAGTTCGTTATTCCGTTTGTAATTCATCGAAATAATTATTTTAGACCCAGCAAAGGATATATCTCTGTTGTAATTACGCTAAAATCAAAACGAATAAAGATAGAAAGCTAAAATTTTGTCTGCAGACAGGTCACGTTCGAAGATGTACGATATCGGTCCACGATATCAAATGTCCGCAATATAACGGTACCCCTTGATATTCGATATTTTGAAGATTGTAGCCAACTTTTTCCATGAAATGGTCTGAAAATCCACAAAAAGAAATCCTTGTATATATAAGTCCACGATATCATATATCCCACATATAACGGCACCTACATATATTCCGTATTTTGATGTTTTTTGTTACTTTTTTCAATAGAATTGTCTAAAAATCCGTCCGTCTGTCTGTTGCAATCACGGTAAAGTCAAAACGAATTAAGATAGGAAGCTAACATTTTGCACAGATCAGTCTTTTGTCTGCAGGCAGATCAAGTTCGAAGATGGGCTATATTGGTCGTATAGCCTCCATATAAGGGCACCTCCCTATATTCTGTATTTTGATGATTTTAGCTACATTTTTAAATGGAATTGTTTAACAATCCACACTATAAGTTCTTTCTAAGCGAAAGAATTTTTTTCCAGATAGTGGAGGATATTCAATGCTCCACTCGCCCGAACTTACCGTTTTTTTTTACTTATTTGATTTAAATTGAAAAATATTGCTCGATTAGAACCTGGCATTGCAATTATAATTGAGCCATATCATTAAGTGTTGGAATTTCTCCATATCATATTTCGCGAACTTTAAAAATATTCGATTGAATATTCTAAAATTAGAAAATTGTAAGAGTTTTTAGCAAAATAGTCGAAAGCCGGAAAACATAAAATTATCTCATTCATCATTTCAAACTTCAAAGTATATATTCAGGACTTTTGGTATCGGTCGAAGTTTGAGTTTTGTATAGTCCCCATATAACTGTACCTTCCAGTTATAGGCCCGAAAATAACTGTAACTCCCTATATTCGCTATTTTTATGATTGTAGCAGTATTTTAAACAGATTTTGTTTTGAAAATTTGCAAATTCCTTCCGAATGGTAGAGAGTATTCAAAGTTCAGGGTATTCAAAGTACTGCCCTTTTACTTATTATATATATTTCAAAATTTATATAAAAAATAAACTTTAGATAATTTAATTTAAAGTCTTTTTTATTCCTTAAAGCACTATCGTTCCGACCTCAACTTAATGCTTAGATACTTACTTTCATGGTAGTCATATTTAGCCGTTTTATAAAATTTTCGGAAATTTGAATTCTTTTATTTTTGAGCATCGACTTTACTAAATCTAACGGAAACACGAATTAATCTCAATATCTGAAAAAAATAAATATACTTGTATTTCATCATTGATTTTTACTTTTATTCCAGCATGGAATGCCTTCCTCAACGTAATTTTAAAGAAGCTAACTTCATGTCCAATGATATATTTCCCAGCTATCGTAAAAAAATTACCACAAAAAAAAAAAATTAAAAACTCCAAAATGCATTGCATTCAATTATTATTATCAGCCACTTTGATTCTCTTACATATCATTGTAGAGGCAAGTTTTCATACCATAGAAAAGTGGAGACACTGCCCTTAGTTTATTCCCTGAGCATTTTCCTTCAAATCAACACCATTGATCACCATGATCTTTGGAATGAATTCTGTGAAATTATGATCCGTATATTTGCAATATTCTTTAAAATTCAATAAATTAATGTGTTTTGATAGATTTTTTAGGTTAGTTGAGATTGCACCTACCGAAATTACACCTAAAGGAGTTCATATATAAAAAATGGAGGTGTTGGGCAATGAAAATTCCAAACTTTGCCCATTCATCTACCTTTTTAGCCATAAAGCCAGTTTTTTCTTTCAATCAATTTGAATTGTCGGTATTTCAACTAAGATGAGGACAAATTCTGCGAATTTTAAAGATTTTTCATAGAATCAGAACAAATAAAATATAAATTCGTTACAGTTTTCTTGTATTATTTGAAAACCAAGTGTTTGGCAAAAATTGCAATAAATCATAAATTGAAATCATCTATTTCATAAGGACCAATATTGCACTGCCTTACAGGTGCCTTGAGTCCTTTCCTCACTTATTTCCATGAATTTTATTTACTCATTCTACGCCAAATACAACAAAACTCCCTTAAGAAATTCCCTTTCAAAATACCCCTACACAATGGCAACGCCACTCTTAGCATAAATTCATTTCCATTGAGAATTCCCTCAAATATGAGAGATGCATAGAGAACACAAACAACGATTGAGAACAAACAACTTCTCACTCAGAGATTAATTTTTGAAGGCAAAGGAAAAACATCTGCTCCCAACACAAATGCATGTTATCGCTCAATAATGCATAGTTAACAGTGAGTACGCTCTCCCTATCTTTCTTTCTCTCTTGTTTGCTGTGTGTGTGCAATGTTAGTGTGGGTGTGTGTGTGTGAGTGAGTGCGTTTGCTTGTGCATAAGAATGGTTGCTATTGTTGTTGTTGTTTGCTTGCCATCAACAATGAATGAATGAGCAGCGAGCGCATCAATGTATGTTGCTGTTGTTGTTGTTAAATGCATTCACGAGGGCCAGGCAAAAGCAGACGAAGAAGAAGACAAACGAACAACCACCACTAACACCACCACCGAAAAAACATGTTTAACATTTTATTACGGCTGAGCAGCGTTCGCAGAACTTCAGAAGCAGCAGTTTCAAATTGTAGCTTGAGTGGTGAACGTCGTCGGGTCGTGAAACCACCGTGAAGCAAACCAAGTACTACACATAACTTGAAATTTTTGTTAACAACAAAAAATTATAGAAGAGAAGAAGAAGCATTGTTGTAATTTACAAGTATTTTTGAATTGCAAGAAATACGAAAATAAAAAAACGTAAAGTTTTGAAAATTATTAAGAGAAAATAATAAACAAGAAAAGTGAATTATTTAATGGAAGTTTATTAAAAAAGAAATATATAAAGAACTGAAATAAAGTTTAAAAAAACTTGAAGATAAAATAAAACACATTCCCCTAAATGAAATAAAATAGTATTGAAAAAAGTTATTAAAAAATAAACAATTTTATTAAAATAAAAATAAAAACGTGTTTCTAAGGAATTTTGACAATTGTAAAAAAGAGTTTGTGTTTTTTGCAATACCGTTACTTTTCAATTGCCAAGTAACAAAACGTTACTCTCACCAACTAAAACAAAAAAAGCAAAGCAAAAATAAATGTCAAAAACCATGTGCCGTCTGAAATAACGTGACAATTTTTTACGTACGATTTCAACGTCGTCGTTACGCTGCTACAATTTGTTTATAACAATCGAGATACGACAACCAACACAAAAAATATGAAGAATTTTAAAGAAATTTTTTAAAAAAGAAATTTTATATTTTTTAAAACGAAAGAAAATTCTTTTCAACGACGGAGTGTTAAACGAAACGGATTCTTGAAATTTGAAGCGAAAAAAAAGAAAATCGAAATAAAAACCTACCTCCCCCACCACAGCGCACCTTCTGGAATTGTGCACCAAGCGTTTGTGTTTGCTTTTCTCCTTTAGCAGCCGCAGTCTTAGAAAAACAAGGATTACCAAAGTTTTTCTAACATCAATCGCCATCATCATCATCTGAAAAAAGCAAACTTCACATACGCTCACCAGTGATATATTTCCTAGCCACTGTAAAAAAGAAATCACCTCCAACACAAAAAAACAAAAACACTTCAACATGCATTGGATTAAATTATTATTAGCAGCCTTTTTGGTGCTCTCCCTTATTATTGAAGAGGTAAGTTTTATGACAAAAAAAATCCTCCACTGCCCTTTAGTTTCTTCCTTTCAATGTTTGAAGTTCAAACCAAACATCATTGATCATTGTTTTCACCACCCAACCCTCTCTATGTGGTTGGTTAACCATTTCTTGTACTCTCTTTTAATGAGAGTTGCTCGAAAGAGGGTGGTTGGCTGGTGTTATTCCAACAATTAGCGGAAACACATGTCGCAAATAAGAAACCAATTTTTAGGCATGTGTTTCCGTTTCGTTTGGCCATTTCTAGAACGAAAACTACCTGTCTTCAATTGAAGGTGGTAAAATTGCAATTTGAGGCCGCAACATAACATAAATGAGAATCATTTCATTAAAAAGAGACAAGGGAAGTAAAGAATAATATCACTAGGAAGGGAATTTGAGAACTGGGAGAAAATTGTAGGAGAGCCCCTGTTGAAAAAAAAAGTTGCAAGTAATGTAGAAGTTTGGGAGTCAAATTCAAAGGGAAATTAAAAAACTCGAACGAAATTTCTCATTCAAATATCACAAAAGAGACATGAAAATCTTGGAGAATTTTTACAAGAGAAGAGAGAAAACCTCAATAAAGAGGAAATTTGAAAGAAATGCATGAATTTGATCGCAAAGTCGAGAAAAATTTAGAATTTACATGGAAAAGAGTTTTTAAATCAAGAAAACTGAATGAAATATTTAAAATTGAATAAATTGTATTGAAAAAATATCACAAAGAGAGATAATTTAATTTTTGAGAAATGAAAAATAATATTTATGTTACAAATTTGAACTTGACGATTTTAAGGGATTTGGACAGAGAGAAAAATTGATTTGAAATTTTATGATTTGGCAACAATTGAACAATTACACAAAAAATAAATCGAAAAATCGAATTGAAATGTCAAAGGGATTGGTATATAGCGCAAATCAATTTGATAATGTATGATTGAAACAAATTTTGCTATTTAAAGATACATCGAGTCAAAATAGACAAAAATTAAAAAAAAAATTGTAAAATATTTGAATAGTTTGAAAAATACTTTAACATTGGAAAATATTTTTTCGAATAAATATTTCAGAGCACCAAAAAAATATTAAAAAAGTAAACGATTAAAATTTGGTAATGAAATCGCGATACTCATTGGCCAGTCGTGAAGAAAATTTTGAAATTCTAGAGAAAATATCGCAAAATTCTATTAAAAAAGAAAAAAAATTCTATTAAGAAAATGTTGAGAAACTGTAGAAAAATGTCTCAATTTTTAAAATATTCAAAAGATATTTTGAAGAAAAAACTACTAGAGAATGTTCATAATTGCCTAAAAAATAACGAAATATAATTTGCATGACAAATTTCAATATTAAAATTTGAAGATTTGGTTTAATAAAAGTAGAAAAATCATAAATATTGGAAATTTCCTCAAAAATGTCAAAATTGTTTTCAGATTTTTTAAAGAAATCTGGAATTTTTGGAACGACTTAATTTAAATTGATATCATTTTGGAACAAACATTGAAATTAAAGCAAACATATTATAATTTAAAAAAAAAATTCAAAAAAGAAAATCGGGAAAAGTATTGAAATTATTTCGATAAAAAAAAAACGAAAAAGGTTATAAAAATACATAATTTTTTTTACATTTTTTTTCAAAACTAGTATTTTTTATATTTTTTTCAAAATTTATGCTTCAATACAAAAAACTTTTTCTGAAGCGCCTTTTTTTAGCAATTTTTCCTTATGCCACAAGAAAAATTTTCTTCTAGTCTTTTTTACATGTATCATTTTTGTTGTTGTTTTCTGTTTTTTCTTCCATCAAAAAACATCTGCTTTTTACTTAATTTGTTAATGATATAAGCTTGTTGGTTGGTCGGTTGGTTATGCCTGGACGGCCATCCAGCCAACTCTTTGCGTAGGTCAACTTTGTCTGTCACAGTGTCTTTGACTTAAAGTAAGTCAAACTGTTTGGGGCCTTAACACATGAAAAAACACACACAACATTTGCATGTGTGTGCATGCATTTTTTCACATTCACTTAACTCCAGCTTGGCTCCAATGCCTGCTGTTGGTGAGGATGATACTAAAAGCCTGTCCGGCCTCCTGTTGCAAAAATGTGTTTTTTTTGTTCCTTGGCTGCTTTAGCTTAATTGTTGCAGGTCGTTTTTTATCTTTGCTGTTGTTGTTGTTCTTCGTACGCATTTCATACTTCAAAAAATATCTCCTGCGGTCTTATATCACGTTTGTCTGTTTTCGTTTTTTTTTTGCTGGGTTTCTTCCACTTAATGCCGGGCAGACAGCCCAGCCAGCAGCTGGAACCTTAACTTGTCACAAAACCAAGCATGACATGATGCACATCATCAGCAGCAACCAAAAAAAAAAAATGTTTAATTTTAAATTATATTTTGACATAAGTAGGAAAAAATAAGTAGAGCTAAAGATATGCAAAAAAAAAAAATTAACAACAGATGTTTTTGGTTGTTTCTATAAAAAGAAAAACGTATGACTTTTACAGTTAATACATTTTTTTTCAAAAGAAAAATTGTGTTACAATTCCTCATTACAACATTAGAATGAAATACCAAGCTTGGCAGCTATTTTTCCTTTGGTTTTAATTAAGTCGCTTGCTCGCTCGCTCACTACTTTTTCATAATCATAAATTTTTTTCTTCATCTCAATAGGCCGCTGGTGGCTTAATTTCACATAACTGTTGCCATTGTTATAAATTATTAATATAAACTTCATATGTGTGGCAGGTAGTCTTCCTCTTTGCTATGAATTGTTGTTATTGTTTTTTTTTTTTGCTAGCCATTTTTTATTCAACCTGTCACAAGAGTTAGTTTTTCTTGCTTATTTCTCTTCGCTTATTTTTACTACTTCATTAATTGTTGCTTCTTTTTTTCTGCTGCTGTGTTACCTCTTCCATGGCAAGAAAGAAAAACAAACTTTATGGCATAAAAAAGAACTGGTAATGCTAAGGTTGAGTGATTTTAATGCAAGTTTTAGTTTTTTTTCTGCGTCCACTATTTTTTTTCTTTATTTTTTATTTTGAGTTCAAAATTTTTTCTTTGGTTAAAAAGATATTGAAGGAAAAAAGCACAAAAAATATATTATACTTTTCAAATATCTAAAAAAATATTAAATAAATTATTTTAATTAATAAAAACATCATTTATTCTCAATTTCAATTAATTATTTTTTTTTAGTCTTAAAAATGTTGTTTCATTTTAAAAACATTTGTTTTTAAAATATGTTATATTTTTCTCCATTTTTTTCGCTTTAATTTCCTAATTATTTTATTTAAAATTTTGTTTTATTTTAAAACGTTTTTTTAATATATTATATTTTTTCCAATTTCCCTAATTTTGGTCATAATAACCCACAAAAATTCCTTATTTCTAATATTTCTAATTCAATTCAAATTACACTACCAAAAATGCATCGTCAAGTAACAGCATTTCCTCTTCCATAGATAACTCACCAATTCTCCATTACTCTCACAAATAATCTCTGGCTCTCATAACATTGTCTTGTGATGGTTCTCTGTTATTTACAGTACACTCACTGTTCAATTATTTCCATCCACAATTCATTAAAGCAGAACAAAACAAAAAACGAAGGCACTATCAATAACAGAGCTTCATCATTGATTTTGCAAATGCAAAACAAACACACACACACGCATACTCAGCAGCATACACTTGCTGTTGTTGTTGTTGGCAACATACAGCTGTTGGTGCCACCACCACCACCTCCTTTTATAACTGCTTTATTGCCGAGGGCTTTTGCCATAATAAGACACAACAAAAAACACCGTTGATATTTTCACGATCATAACAGAGTGGGGAGTGTGTGTGAGAAAGAGAAAAAGAGTTTGAGAGAATTTGCAAAGAGAGCTAAACTAAAACGAAAAACTTACTTAGGCCAGCTGTATAAAATTTTATCATTTGAAATTGAAAACTTGTTTTTCCAACATAACTTGTTGTTGCCCAGTCTTTTTTTTTTTTCTAAACTTCATCATCTGCTTGGCAAATTTTATTAAATGTTTTTGCTGTTGTTGTTGGTTTTGGCAAACAAAAAACCAGAAGAGCCATCACCATCATTGACTCCATTAACGAAAACGACGAAGTAGTCTTCAAAAATAGCAACTACTCGTGTAGCTGTTCGTCGTCGTGTTGCCTTTGCAAATTATATCCGTTTGAGAGAGAGAGAGTCGGAGAGCCATAATATCATTATTGTGTTTAACTCATAATGATGTTTGCACCATTAATGATCATTGTCATGATGACAACGATCATCGTCATCAATGTATATGTATGTTGACCGGCAAATCGTATGCCGTGGGAAACAATTCGGTTTTACTTGAAACATTTTTTTCTGTTGTAGCCGTTGTTGTTGTTTTATTTTAAAGCTTTGTGTGTGCTTAAGCCAGCCAAGCCAGCAGCGCAATATGATGATATTGAGTTAGAGCAACAGGCAGGCAGGCCAGGCCAGGCAATGTGTATGCTTGGTTGTGTGCCTTGCCTGCTTGGATCACTTTTGTTGTTTGGTTGGTTGGTATGTCTTACGGTCTGTCTGTCTGTCCTGTCTGACGTTTCTTTGTTGCTTGCTTCGATCCCCGTGTACCTTGTCTGTGTCCATATGTCTACTGTTGCTTAGAGAGGAGTTGGTACGTTGTTGTTCTTCTTGCCTTCTTTTTTTGTTGCTGTCGTCGTCGTCGTTGATGTTGTTTTTTCTCTGTTTCTGTTTTTAGCCTTAAATCGAGGAGTTTTACACATTTTTATAACGTTTGTTGTTCTTGTTGTTTGTTGGCTGGGTTATTTTGATGGTGTTCTAAAGTTAATGTTGTATTTTTCTACAATTTTTTTTTCTTAAGGTTGTTTAGTTGGCTGTCTTCGTTCAACGTCATCATCATCATCACCGCCACAGCCATTATTTTTGCTGTTTGTGTTTAGTTTAGGGAGTCAGCCATTATTTGGGCCTATTTCTTTTTCTTGTTGGCCATGGATAGCAAAAGGGAGTTTGTTGTGTAGCTAGGTTTGATCTTTTTTTCTTTTTTTTTGGGAAGTTGGGAAATTTTTTGTTAATGATTCATGTTTGTTGTGGATGCTTAAATGGTTTTGTTTTCTATTATGTACCTATTTTGTTGTACGATTTTAAGCCTATTAGCTTTACGTTTTGTGTTAGGCGCCAGTAATTTAGCAAACTAATGGGATGTTACCAAAAAAAAATTTCACTTAACAGGGGAAATTTTTTTTTAATTTAATTTTTTTTTATTCTTTGAAAAGAAAAATTTCCCTCAAAGGGTTTGGAAAAAAATTCCAAGGAAAATTTAATTTTTATTTTGTAAAGAAAGGAGTTATAGATTTTTGTCGTATTTATAATTTCGACCACTGAGAGTTTTGAAAATGCAAAAATTTTCAAAAAAATCTTTGAAAACAAAAATTTCCCTGGAAGGGATTTTTTAATTTTCACACAAAATTGAAAGTTCTGGCATATTTTGGCAGATTTTGACGCCAAATGTTCATATCCAGTCCTAACAAAAATTTCCCTAAAAATTTCCCAAAAGGGAAATTTTTGTTTTTTAATCCCAAATGATTTTACTATTCATGAGAGTTCCAAAAATGCAAAAAATTTCAAAATATCCTCAAAAACAAAAATATCCCTCGAAGGGTAATTTTTATTTTCCAGCCAAACTTTAAAATTCCTGCATATTTGAATGGATCCTGATGTCTAATATTGATTTCCATTAAGAACAAAAATTTAACTCAAAATTTCCCAAAAGGGAAATTTTCAATTTTCCTTTCCCAAACATGAAATGGGCTCTACAGATCTTAAATAAGTAAGAAAGTTATTAAAATTTCCTCCAACAAAAATTTCCTTAGAATAAAAATCTAAAAAAAATTGTAACACCTTTCCAAGGAATTCCAAAGTTTCAAATCTCCCCTCCCTCTTTTTTCCTTACATGATATCCCACAATTAAGTCATCTTGTTATTATTAATCTACTTACACAACACATGGCCAAAAGTGTGTAAGCAATCGTTGTCAAGTTTTTCTACCAATTTTTTTGTAATGGTCTCTCTCCCTGGCCTTTTTTTCATCTAAAGCTGTGGTGCGCGTCACACAATTAAATTGTCATTTTCTGGGATTTTTTATAACATTTTTTGTTATTCTGCTCTCTAGTCTGTGTTTGTTTTTTATGATTTGAAACACAGTTATAAAACATCTTGCTTGTGGCATACGTACTCTCAAGTGTATTTTAAGTCTTTTTAAGGCATTTTTAGGCCTATTTATTTCTGTTTTTTTTTTTTTTTTTTTTTGTCCGGGTTTTTCTTCTTCGTACACTTGTTTGTTAGAGCGACCCCTTCTCTTGAGCTGTGTGCCTGCTACACTTAACCATATACGGCTTAACTTAATTAACCATTTAAATGCCTTTGTGTTTTTCATCCAACAAGTGTCATAATTACTTGGACTCCATACTACAACTCAGCTTCAGCTCTTCATGCGAGCGGCCATTCATTTCCCATTTGATGCTTGGGGTTCAGAGGGGCCAAACAACAACACCAACAAAACACAACACAAGCAGGCAACAGCCAGCTTAAGGTTGTCATTTTAAATCATTTATAAAATTGAAATTCATTTAGTATTCTGAAACAGTTGTTGACAGCCATACACACAATAAAATAAGGCATCAAAAACAAGTCCCAAGTCCCTCTGTTGTTTTTTGGTGGATAATTAAATATTCAGAATTTCAATCTTGATTATTTCGACATCTTTATAGCACATCGTTAACATTGATATCGATTGGTTGAATTCATGTCATCTCGTTCGGTGTTGTTTTCTTTTTCTTTTTTTTTTTTTTTTTTTTTTTGATAATCAAATCGAAAATTACAATAATTTTCACATATTTGGCCATGTCATAAACAAAACGTTTTTATATCTCATTTTTTTCGCCTTAATTAACCAGCCATTTTGTTAATAATTTATAGGGCCATAACATTTTGTTTGCCATATTTTTTTTGGTTATTTTTTAAATTATTGTTAATAATTTTTGAATACTTTTTTCTTTTAAGTTGATTTTTTTTTTTCAAATTTTGCCAGGAATTTTTTTCCTTTGTCAAATATTTTTTTAAAATTTTTTTTTGGGTTCCTTGGAATTCTTGCATCCTCTGCTGCCACCAGCAGCAGCTTAATGTCTGTTGTTATTTTCGTCATCATCTGGACATTTTGGTGGCTGTGACTAACACAAAAATGTACCACCAACCCATGAACTGACTGACTGGCCATGGTCTGGCTTGGTTGGCTGACTGGTTGTTTCTTTGGCCGGTTGTTTCCTTGCTTGCTTTGCCTTCGTGTTTGTCCCCGCCTTGCTGGCTTTTTGTTGCAGTTTTGTAGCATTTTTGCTTAAATACCATACTGAAAGATTTATCGTCTTGTTGCAGAAGCTGGAATTTTTGTCCAGCATTTCATTTCAAAAGACAAGCCAGCAACCGACCGCCAGACCAAAGATTTCAAACACCAGCCATTTTTTTGGTGGTAAAATACAGGAAAAATAAAAAAACGTTAAGAAGATCCTTTTTTGAGGAATTTTACAGCAACAATTTATAAAATTTCCAGGGATTTCTAATGAAAACAAGATACTTTTCCAAGGAAAGAAAAAAAAAATAAGTAACAAATTTGGAAGGAAATTACTTAAATTTAGGGATTTTGACCAAATTTTTATTTAAAAAAAAAAAAAATAAATAAATAAAATTTTGCAAATTTTCGAAAAAATAAAATCACCCTTTTTGATGATTTTTGAATGAATAGTGAAGTTTTTTTTAGGATACATATCAAAATTTAGGAAATTTGGACTACATTTTGAATCTGATGAACTTAATACTAAAATTTTGCAATATTTTTTGAAAAAATTAAAAAATCCCCACTTTGGGGATTTCAGAAAAATGTACCGGGCCTTAAAATTACCCCTAAATGTACTAATTTTTCCTCACAGAAGACATATAAATGCGTTATTGATGAAAAAAAAATTAAAAAAAAAAAAAATAAAAATTCCCTCTTTGGGGATTTTTGAAAAATCCCCCAGAATTGCAAAATTTTGTAAAAAAATATCCAAATTGATAAATATTGCACATACAAGTCATGAAAACGTATTTTATAAAACTTTCCCCACATTTTTTACACATTTTACTGGAAATCTAAAAATTGCCCACTTGGAGATTTTTGAAAGTTTCCCGGGTTTCATTTTTTTTCAAAACTAACTTTAATTGTCTTAAATTCGATTCTACAACTCGTGAAATGCATTTTCTACAAATTTTCCCCAGAATTTTTAAAATTCCCCAAATGGGGATTTTTGAAAAATTTCCGGGATTTATTTTTTCGTAAAAATTACAGCCAAATATTGTTAATTAGATTCTAAAAGTCATAAAAATTCATTTCATTAATTATTTCTGCGAAATTTTAAAATTCCCCATCTGGGGATTTTTTGAAAAAATCTCCTGGGTTTAAAATTTTTCTTCAAAATTAACTGCAAATGTAATAATTTAGCTTCTAGGGATCATAGAAAAACGTTTTTCAAACGTTTTCCGCACACTTAAAAATTTTCCAAGGAAATTTGCTCAGGAAAACTTCGAAGCGTTTTTCAAAAATTCTAAATTTTCCTTAACTTAAGGATTTCCGATCAATTTTTTCTATTATATTTTTTTTATTATTGTTATATAGCTTTTTATTAATTTTATCTCTCTTATTTTCCTGTTTCAGGTCCAATCATCCGGCTTATTCGAACTGCGTTTAAAATATTTCAAAAACGATTACGGTCGCGACAGCGAAGGTCACTGTTGTAGCGGGCAAACGGATGCGGCGACGGGCAAATGTATTGGCGGTTGTAAAACACGGTTTCGCGTTTGTCTCAAACATTATCAGGCGAAAATCGATACAACATCACAGTGTACCTATGGCAAAGTTGTAACGCCGATATTGGGTGAAAATTCCGTGAATTTAACCGATTCCCTGGCATTGCAGAATAAAGATTACACCAATCCCATACAGTTTGCCTTCAATTTTGCATGGCCGGTAAGTAGAGAGAAACACAATTTTGGTGTATTTTTAGTTGTGCAGCAAGAAAAACTTCCCGTTTCTATTTTCCTTTTTTTTCGGCGCAGATAAAAATAACCTAATTTTGTAAAACAACAACCAGACACACACTCACTCACTCACATGTCTAACCCGAAAATTTGTATTGACAATAATTTTTGAAAGCATTTTCCTGTACACAGTCATGGGGATGGGGAGCGAGCAAGCGAGCCAAAAGATCATTAGATAGTTCGTCCATAAGATTTGTGGCATTGCGTTGCAGTTTTTTGTGTTTTCTTCTAAATTTAGAATTTGACGTTAATGTAAAGTCAGCCAGTCAGTCAGTCATTATGTTGTTTTTATTTGTTTTGCTTGTGGTCTTGGGGCCATTAAAATAATATCCCTCCCTTTGGATAAACAATTTCTTTGGTGGTCACATTGTATTTTTTTGCCAAATGGAAAAAATCTTGGCTTATCTTCATTGATAAAAAAAATTATTTTTAAAAATATATTTTTTTTTGTCCTTGCAGTATCTCAAAACCAAACATATGCCCCCTGTTTTTTCAAAGAACTCTTCTCCTCTTGATATGTAATATTTGCACCAGCATTTATCAATTTTATATACCTACCACCACCTATATACACCGACATGGAGAGAGCGAGTAAAGTTCTTTGCCTCTCTGCCATGCCACCATGTGTATCTTTGAAAAAAGAACGAACGAACGAACAGGGTTGAAAAACACCACGATCCATTGGAAATACAAGCATATATTTTTGTGTGAAACATCTGTCAGCTATTAAGTAAACCTTAAACTGACTCCGTGTGTCTGTCTCTCACTGACTTGATAAAAATAACGTCGCCAGCGATGGAGGACGGAATAAGCAAGCCCTGCGAGTGAGTTCATGGCTTTGCGCGCAACATTTCTGTTGCCGTGGTGGTAATACTAGCGCGTGCGCCACACATATTTTTAATGTAAATATTTGAAGTGACATAAACAGAAATGTGTTGTTTTTAATGATATTTTTCAACCCCATTCAAAGCCCACCACCAACCGTTGTCATCATTAAAGTTGGGCAAAAATACGTTACTTTTTTCCAAACACTCTCTTAATGACAGGGCAAAAATTAAATTTTCTTTAAAGGAAAATTTTTGGAAATTTAAAATTTTTGCTTTTTTTGTTATTTTATAACGTTTTTATAAAAAAATAGACCATTTTTTGAGTTAAAAAAAAATTTCCCCGTTTTTGGGGATTTTTTCCCCACTTTGGGGATTTTTGTAAAATGTGTGGCTAATTGTTTCTTGGGTTTTAAATAAGCTAAAACAAAAGGAATTTTGAAAATCCCGGCATTATTTGCTATGCTTTCGTAAAATATAGACATTTTCTGGGGAAATTTTTTCAAGAATTTGTTTTTTTTTAAGAAAAAAAAAATTATATTTTTCCTGAATTGCTGTTTTTTAGACATTTTATTCATTAATATTTAAAAAATTTCCAAGTTTTTCGAATTTGAAAAATTTTCCCCACTTTGGGGATTTTTTCCCCACTTCCGGAATTTTCAAAATTTTTGTGGCTAATGATTTTCCGGGTCTCAAACAAGCCAAAATAAAAAGAATTTTCGAAATTCCTTGAAAATTTCAAAATCCCCACAATGGGGATTTTTGTGTTTTTGGGTATTTTCAAAAAATTCTTTTGAATTTCAATTTCTTGCATATTTAGCTGCAAAAAAACGATGTAAACAAAATTTTCCTTGTATTTTGGCATTTTTATTTGATTTTTTTGCCAAATATTGAATTTGATTTGATTAGGAAATCCTAGAATTTTTTTTGCCTTCAAATTTATTCTTAACGCTCCACAGCCTTTTGGGAATTTTGGCAAAAAAATTTGAAAGGTTTTTTGCTTTTGTTTTATTTTTTTGATTGTTTATGCATGCCGTTTAAAAAAGTTGTTGAAGCTGAAAAGCATGCAATTGAAAGGTAAATGCCAGCCGAATCCAAATTTTGTTATTATTGATTTTTTGCCGTTTTTGCTTTTGATTTAGGGGCTTGACAGGAAATCAAGCAGACACAGGCACAGGCAAATGTTGCAAATACTATGTATCCCTAGCAAAAGGTTTTGAAATGCAGATTTCTTGCCGGGGTTTCATAACACCTAATCAAAGTGACAAAGATACACTCACTTGCACAGCAAGAGAGATGTAGAGTGGGAGAGGCAGAGAGAGAGGGCGGCAGGGAACCTAAAAATACATTTCCTTTTAAAAAATAAAATTAATTTGCAACCAGAAAAAAAAGAGAAGCAGCAAGCCAAAAAAAATGATCGCGTGTTTCAAGATGCTATATCAATGCGTCAACATCTTTAAAATGGAAACTAGGAGACAAGAAGCAGCAGCAGCATAAAATGTACAAAAGACAGCAGGAGCTTTAAATTATCAATGACACTAAAATAACAGACAGCAGCGGTGGCAGGCAGGCAGGCGAGCAGGCAGGCACACCATGCAAGACGGCGACGTTAATATGTCGGTTGTCAGCCAGCCAGCCAGGCAAAGCGGGCCTTATTCTACCCAGAAGGGAGCAACCTTCTTCATTTTTTGAAGACATTAACAACTCTGAAATCGAATGACTGGTTGGTTGGCAGACATGGCGAGAAGTACAACTGCCATGGAAATTATTTTTAAACAACACTTAAGTGTAAAGTTCAATGGAAAGATTGCTGCTACTCCTTTCCATAGAATTGAATTCTCCAAAGGCAGGAATTAGCACCCCTTCTATTTTGAGGTTGTGGTGGTGCTGCTGCTTTTTGGCAGCATAGAGGGATAGGGATTCCGAAAATAGCCATTGCATGATGGCATTCCAAACAATGCTTGATGCCAAACGCCAGGCATCCAGCCAACCATTATCATCAGCGTGTGGATATCAAAATCCATTCCTCCCCGATTTTGGCTTTGCAAAGAGGAAACCAAACTGAAATTCTAAAAATAAATTCCCTTGCAATTCAGTCTGTGTCAGGGCATGTAACTAAATCTATTTAGATTTTAGGTCAAGGAATTTAATTAGAATTACAACAAGGCACGTGTTATCCGCAAGTTTTTCTCTCCTTGAAATTAACATAAAATTTTTCATGAAAACAAATTTTTTCATAAATTAATTTTCCCCCCGTCCAGGAAATTTTTGAAAACTAATGATGACAATGAGCAAGACTTGGGGTTTTTTTGGATGGAAAAAGAAAAAGGGGAAAGAGAAAAAGACGTTACAAAAAAACCCTAATCACCCTACCAAGTGTAAGGCTTGAGTGAATTTGTTTGAGTTGCAACGGTTTTGAAAGCAAGCAACAAAAACAACAACTAATGTTAATGGTCTCTTCTTCTGCCAACTTCTTAATCTATCTACCTGTATGAAAGAACTAGTAAACATGGTTGGTCCTCGGGGAAGGTGGTGGCGGCGGCAATACCATGCATGAAATGCTAATGCTTTTTCCTCTACCTCTTAAAGAAGAACTTTAAACAAATTCTCACTGAAGCGTTAATATTTCATCAAAGTAAAGTTATTTTGTTGCCTGCCATTATCATCGGAACAAAGAATATACACTCTCCCTCCCCTCTTTACGCCTTCTTTTGGTTCTTCGTCTCCTAGACACAATGATCGTTTTCTTTAATTGCATGGCTGGCAAACCGTGCACGGGGGGAACCACATCATACTAGAGATCATGCTGCATGTTCCATTACAGCAAGTACGAAAAACACGTGCTGTTCCAAAAAAATGAAAACAGGGGGAGTTTTTTTTTTTTTCAATTCTTTTCAACTTCGTTCAGGTTCAAGTTCTTTTTAAAGAAATTTAACTCATGCCGAACGAAAGGAAATAGTTTTCTGTTTTGTTGTCTTTATTTTCTTTATGCTATTTTTTTATTGTCATATACTACATATATGTATTCCAGAGTCTTCCTCCTCAACTTGTGACAATTACAATACAAAGTAGCAAAAAAAGAAACTATTAAAAATGACAATTTAAATTTATGGTCCCACTTTTTTTGAGGGGAAGTGAAAATTTCCAGGAAGGGGGATTTTCAATTTGAAAATTTTTGACTTATTTATCATTTAAAATTATTTTTTTTACAAAATTTAAAAAAATTGAGACTGGGGAATGAATTCCGAAAATGAGAGCAGAAATTCCCTCACTGGGGTAAAAATCCCCAAGTCCAAAATTTTACATAAAATTGCCTGGAATTGCATGAGGGACTCAGAAAAAATTTAAATTTGAAAATTGCAGTCTTAAATATTGTGATTTTTTAGTTATGCTCCACATTTTGGTCGGATTTTCAACAATTTTCTTTGGTGGAATTACTTATTTGTTAAAGAAAGTGGGAAAATCTGTAGTTTCTAAGCTTTTATGGGTTTAGAAATTTATTTCGGACAAAAATTAGAAATTCCCAAAATGGAAATCAAAAATCCCCAACTGGGGAAAAAATCCCCAAATTGAAATTTTTATAGAAAGTTGTTTATTTTTGCCTTGCGAACTCAAAACAAATTTAAATAAGAAATTTCTGCCAAAAAAAATTTAAAATTTTCCTTTAAAATAAAACATTTTGGTCGGATTTTCATTTTTTTTGGGGGATTAATAATTTTTCACGGAAATTCAACGTTTTTTCAGGTTTTCAGGCTTCCAGGGCTTTGAATATGTATTTCCTATCAAAATCTTAACAATTCCCAAACTGGGGAAAAAATACCCAAATTGAAATTTTTGTTTAAAATTGTTTATTTTGGCATGAGGAACTCAAAAAAAAAAAAAAAAAAAAAAAAAAAAAAAAAAAAAAAAAAAAAACAATACTTTTCAAGCAAAAATAAAAAAGTTTCCTTTAGGATTTTGAAAAAAAAATTGATGGATTTTTCCGAATTATTTGTCAAAATATTTAATTATTATGTTTTTGTTCATATTTTTTCACATTAAAATTTTGTTTCTTCTTCGTTGAAAAAAAAAAAAACGAAAACGAAACTTGTTCCCTCCTCCACCTTTAAATTGCAACCCACACTCGCGATTGGCATTTTAACAAAAAAAAGCCTCGTTTTCGTAATGGAAAACGAAAGTTTTTCCTAAGCAGCTTCATATCTTCTCTCCTCGTTTTCGTTTTTTTTCTCCCCCGATAAATTTGTCATTAGCTAAATGTAAGCTGTTTACAACAGACAAAACTTTTACCAAACACCTCTGCATTTTTTATTGCTATTTTTTGTGTTTTGTCTTTCAATTGTATTATTTATTGCCAAGCTTAAGCCAGCCACCTCTCCACCGGGGTCTGGTTTTGCGCGCTATATGGTGTCATCTTTGTGTCCAAATAGATTCACATGCATAACTTAGACTTTCAAACACACACACACACCCAAGACAGATGGCTGGCTGGCTGGTTGCATTGCTAGGAGGGTATGGTGGGGGGATACTAGACTCCTCTATAGTTTTCTATTACTCTCTGTAATCAAGTGTGAATTGAGGGCGCGCTAGAGCCATAAAGCTTTGTCTGTTGTTGTCTTTTGTTGTTGCCTATTCATTTGCATTTAAAATCCACAATATGACGATCGATGGCTGGTTGGCTGCTGCGCCTGCGCATCATAGCTACTACCATCTCGTCTTCTATTGCATTTTTTCTCATTCAGAGTAAGTGACTGTGTGTGTGGGTGTTATTTTGTATTTTGTAATATTTGTTGTTTTGTCTTCTCGTTTGGTTTTTTCGCTTTGAAGGCGTTAAGAAAAATAACAAAAATTTCCATAAATTTAATTTTTTGTTTTGAAATTTATTTGTAATTTGTAAACTTAATTTTTTCTTCTTTTTTTTCATTTCTTTACAGGGTACTTTTACCTTAATCGTGGAGGCTTTGCATGACACCAACAATACCGCAAATGCTCGTTCAAGCAGTAAGTATATTTTGTTAATAACAATAATCCTTGTTATGGTTATTATATCCTTTTTCCGGGTCACCATAAAACCCATATCCTGCTTCCTTTCATAAGCCGGTTTTTTTTGGCCAAGGGTATGTTGCCCGCCTTGTTTCTCTTCTGTCTCCTCTCCTTCTATGGCCGTTCTTTGGTGTTGTAATGTGATATGGTTTTTTTTTTAGTTGACACTTGTGTCTTATTTTGTTTTCAGTTTTATCCTCCCCATTCTTCGTTTTTCTACTTCTTTTGTTTGCTGGTAAATTTCCGGCCTAGTATTGTGTTTTCTGCTTGGCCAAGGTTCAAAATATCCCATTTCGGGGTTTGATCTGATTTCATTTAGAAGAAAAAAAAAAAACTAAAAATACAAAAAAAAAAAAAAAAACAGACGACAACAACAAAAACATTTAAATTTCAATTTTTATTCTTGGATTTCCAAAGAACACATTTCCTTTGAAAAATAAAAATTTTCCTTCAAGACAAAGAAAAAAATTAAAACGAGTATTGGAAAATTAAAAAAAAAAAAAATTTAAAAATATTTTGAATTTTTTTTTAAATATTTTGATTTTTTTCTCTCTGAAAAATATTGAATTAAATGAAAATTTAAAAAAATAAATTGAAAATATTTTAAATTATTTTTTTTATATTTTTTTTATATTTTTTTATATTTTTTTTTAATATTTTTTTTTTAATTTTTCTCAATTTTTTTTTTTTTTTGAAAATATTTTGAATTTTTTCCCTCTGAAAAATATTTAATTGTTCCCTTCCCTTTTTGCCTTCCATTCCGGCCTGCCAGTACTCCTGCTGAGCTGAAGCTTATAAATTTTCTCCCTTTTTTACATCCTCTGCCAGATTTGTTATCTCAACAGTTGATGTAATGCAATTTTGTTGTTGTTGCTGTAAATCTTCCATTTTTGTTGTTGTTCTACATGTTGTCAAGGATTAATTTCATTTATTTTAAACGTTTTTCGTGTTGTTTGCTGGCTGGCTGGATCTCCCGCATACTTTTGCTCGAAGAGGGTCGGGTCGTCTGCTTAACAACGCCACCATCTCAGCAATCCAGCATTATCTAAATCACATCACATAAAAAGCAACCAAGGAAGAAGAAGAGGGCATGGATGATGGTGGTGTGGCTGGCTATGCTTAGCATACAGGTTTGTTGCTTAAGTCTTTCGTTTTGTGGCCAATCATTTTTTGGTGGACAATCGGTCGACGTTGTTTTTCCATTCCCCCTTATTTGTTTCGAAGCTGCCTTGCAAGTTTACGCCTGTCCAACATCATTGGTGTGCAACAAGTTTTAGGTGATTTTTTTTTTGTTTCCTGAGAATCCCAAAAATTCTCTTCCTTCCAATGCCATGAAAAAGGAATTTAGGGTTTATCTTAAAACAAATTTTCCATAGCCTAATTATTTTCCCCCTCCTCCTCCTCCCTCTTCTCTCTCTCAGCAAAAATGTTGGCCTGTCGCTTTAATCTTAATGTTCAACTTGTCATTTCAAACAACTTTTTATAATTAGTTTTCTAACGCTTTTCCTTGTTAAAAAATCACACACACACGCACTCACACCTAGCCAAAGTGGAAAGAAGTGCGTTAATGTTTTGCATTCGAAACTGCAAAAAAAATTGCAAATCCAATGATAAAACCAACAAACAAACAGAGATTGTAAGTTTTCTAATAACCTGTCATACCACAAAGCCAAACGCAAAACCCAAAAGCCAATTCAATTGAATTGGGCACACACAACCGGGTCCATGGAGTTGGTGGAGCACCCAATAACAATAAAAAATTTTAGCAGAAAAATGCCACGCAAAATTGTTGATTTTCCACTAAAAACGCACATAAATGTTAATGGTCGTCGTTGTCGAAGCCGTCGTCGTTGCAGGCAACATGTTGCCTAGGTCTTTTTCAAACAAAAAAATTTTGTCACTAGTCGAGTTGGTTGGTTGCATGGCTTTACTGGTTGTGGCCGCCTGTCGCCTGCCTTCTGCAACCCAACCAGCCAGCCAGCTTCAACAGGTGGTTTATAGAATTTAAGCCATTAGTTAATCTTTAAGTTGGACATTTAAAGAAAACAACAACACCAACAAAAATTGACAACGAAAAATCTACCACAAAACTTGTTTGTAAGGTAAAATAGAAAATTTTTATATGATTTCCAATCCGAAAAACCAACATTGCTGGAATTCCATAGATTTTGTGGCGTTGTGTGGTCGGCCAGAGACCACATTTAAAAGTTCTTGAGGAATTAAAGTTTGGCAAAAAAATTATAATAAAATTTTTAAGCAAATTTTCCAATATTTTTGAAAAATTCCCAAAAGGAAAATTTTTGGGAAATTTTTCTAAACCTGATTTTCATGTTACTACTTCATTGTAGAGGCCAAAAATGTCAAAGAAAATTTTTTCTGGGCATTTTGAGAAAATTTCCCTCAAAGGGAAATTTTTGCTGCAAAAATTAAAATTTTGGTATTTCTCAAGGTTTAAAGACATCAGGAATGCATTTCCGTTAATAACTCAAAATTTCCCTTTTGGGAAATTTTTAGGGAAATTTTTTTTAACCCCATTTTTGTTCACCTCTATGGTCCTACATCCCAAAAATAGCAAAGAAAAATAGTTCCCAGCACTTTGAGAAAATTTCCCTCGAAGGGAAATTTTTGTTTTGAGGCAAAAATTTTAAATTTGGGTATTTTTTAAGGTTTTAAGACATCAGGAATGCATTTCCGGCAAAAACTCAAAATTTCCCATTTGGGGAATTTTTAGGGAAATTTTCCTCAACATGATTTTCTGTAAGCTCTATGGTCCTACATCCAGAAAATAGCAAAGAAAAAATGTTCTGGGTATTTTGAGAGAATTTCCCTTGAAGGGAAATTTTTGTTTCTGGGGAAAAATTTAAAATTTGGGTATTTTTAAACATTTTAAAGTCTTAGGAGCTCATTTCCGGCCAAAACTGGCCACTTCCCTTTTGAAAAGTTTTAAATTTTAAAGTTTTTGTTTTTGGTCTTTTGAAAAAATTTACATTTCTTCATGGTTTAATTTTTATTATTATTATTATTTTTTTTTTGTTCCTCTTCCACCACCACCATCATTTTTTTATAAACAAAACTCGGCAAAGAGCATATGCAACATTATCAGTTATTGCCTTCGTTTTTAGGCTCTTGTTTGTCTGAGTTGTTGTTTTTTTTTTCGTATAGTTCGTTGAACATCATAAGTATGCGAGCCGATAATATTGTTGGTGTTGCTGCTGAACATTGCGGGAGATTTATGTTGGGTTCTTTGTTTTTGCGTTTTCTGCTCATTTTTTGTTGTTGTTATTTTCATTTTCGCTTTTGGGATCTTATACGCCATCATCATCGTTGTCTTGGTCGTCTCAATACCCCACATGCCTGCCACATGCAACCAAGCAGCCAACCAGCCAGTCAGTCAGTCATGCACCTGCAATTTACTTTATAGACCATGGCAAGTTATATTGGCATCATGATTGTTGTTTTTGTAGTTTTTAAGGAGAGTTAAGCTGAGTTTGAGATGTTAGCAGAGCCCCCTCTCCCCGCATACATTCAAAATATAATCAACAACACCTGAATATTGAATGTTATACAAGCGTTGTAAAGACGAAGACGACGATCAGTTTTTTTTGTGATGTTGTTGTCGATCGTTTGTTCAACCAAAAAACACAAAAACAACAACAAAATATGTGTGGTTGGTTTTTTTTGTACAACAATTTTTTTATTACTGCTGTTGCAAATTGTAAGCCATACAAAAGTTTTCCAGCATAGGTATTTTTTTATGCTGATCCAATGGCCGGCCACCAGCACCATTCATTGGACTGACCGTCTGTGCTTTGGCAGCGGTGGCGGCGGCGACAGTGGCGGTACGTGTGCTTAGAGTGTGTTTGAAGTACGTTCATGGAATTAAATGTAACAAAACAAATAACAATAATAACAACAACAGCAATTCAATGGTCAATGGAATATTAATTTGAAAATCCAGAACAAAGCCCTTCAATGGAAGTTTTGACATAAATTTTTAGCCCCCCTTCCTCTTTTTTTCTTCAGAGTTAGTTTTTTTTTAAACATTTCTTGTTGTTTTTTCTTCAGAACACCTTCTTAACTTGCATTTACCTGTATTTGTTTTTTTTTTTCTTTTGCTTTTGGGCCTGAAATTTTTCAAGACCAGCCTCCTTTTTTGTTGCTGCTGCTTTTGACCCTCATCTTTCTTCTTCTTGTTTTTTTTTTTTTTCACCACTCTAATGTTTATAATTAATCTTCATGAATACCATGGGAATTTATTTTTCATTTTTCTTATCAAAACTAATCTCTTTCTTCTTTTTTCAGGTGTACTGATACAACGCATATCGGTGCAACAAGTCTTGGAAGTATCCCCCGACTGGGAGAGCAAAAAATCCGAATCTCAATATACCTGGTTGGAATATGATTTTCGTGTTACCTGTGATCCACACTATTATGGTTCGGGCTGTGCCGATTTGTGTCGTCCCCGTAATGATCAATTTGGCCACTATACATGCTCCGAAACTGGTGAAATTATTTGTTTGTCCGGCTGGACGGGAGATTATTGTGTGAAACGTAAGTATTGGAAAGAACAAAACTTTAAAAATTAATAACATATTTTATAAAAAATTAGAAAAATTTTTGGGTCTTTTTCATTTTTGGTCGAATTTTGAAAATGGTAAAAAATTATTTTTTTTTTCAATTTGAGAAAATTAACAAGTTTTGTTACCTTTTTAAACATTTTTTTAATTAAAAAAATTGAAATTTAAAAAATTGGACTTTTTTCAATTTTTGGTCGAATTTTGAAAAATATTTTTTCTTAAAAATTTACGGAATTAATAATTTTTTAACAACATCTTTTTTATGATTTTGCGAATTTAAATTTTTTTTAATTAAAAATATTTGAAATTTAAAATAAATTTTACAATTTTTCATATTTGGTCGTATTTTGAAAGATTGTCTTTTAATTAATATTCATGTTGTAATAACATTTGAACAAGATTTTTTATGGATTTCAAATTTTTCAAATATTATTTAAAAAATTTTAAATTGAAAAATATTGGGAAATGTTCACTTTTGGTCGAATTTTGAAAAATATAAATATAAATTTGAAAGATGTAAAATTTTTGATCGAATACTGAAAATAATTATTTTCTCAATTTCTTCTTATAATTAACGTTTTTACGCTATATTTTTATGATTTTGAAAATAGAAACTGTTAAATTATGTATTTTAATTCCATTTCTAAAATCTCCAAGTTTTGGGATTATGTCCCCATTTTAGGAATTCTCCAAAAAAAGTAATTTTGTTTCTAAAGCAATAAATTAGCATTATTTTTTGATAGTTTTTCTGATATTTTTTTAGATATTTTTCATATTTTCAGAATTCCCCATTTTGGAATTTTTTCCCCACTTTTGGGGATTTTTCAAAAAAAAAAAATTTTTTTTTTCAAAAATGTTATGTTATTTTGAATTCCTTGTTATTCTTCTATATTAATTCCACTTAATTTTCAAAATCCCCAAATTTGAAAATTTTTTCCCCATTTTGGGAATTCTCCAAAAAAAGACACTCCTTCAGAAAAAATTGTGTTTTTATATCCTTCACCATTTGTTTGTGCTTGATTGAACAACATCCGTCATCCTTGGAGGTTTTTTTGAGAGATAAAAAATTTGGGGTTCCTGTCACACACACATCTTCCCTCTTTTGTTGTATTTGCTGAAGATAAACACATACTTCCTTTTCATAAACAGGTATTTAAGAGCCCATCACACAACAACAAAAAAAGAACCCAAAAGATTTGTTTCTCTTAAAGATCTTTGGCTTTTGTTTTAAGGCAAGATAAAGAAGAAGAAAAAAACACCACGCACACAAATCCATCCATCCATCGATTCACCATCCTTTTTGGAGGAGTTTAAGAATTCATTACACTAACAAAGTGCTGCGGCGACCATGGCCACGGCTGCTGCTGTCGTTGCTTCTGCTGCTGTATTGGTGGCCAGGAAACTACTGTAATGTATTGGTTTTCTTCTTCTCCGTCTCTTTTTTTTTTGTGATTTCAAGGCATATTTTACCTGCTGATGTTGATGTTCTGTTGTTGCCTCTCCCCCGCCCCACCACATCCATCATACCCTTTAAATGCCCTAATACGGGCGTGGGAAGATTTTTGTACTAAAACTCCAAAGTATCTGTTTTTTTCGTGTGTGTGTGTGCGCGAGTGTGTCTACTCTCCTCCTTTACAGCCAGAAGAGCCAATACCAAAAAAAGAACATCCACATGGATGTTGGTATAACAGGCTTTGCTTGCATATCCAGCCATCCAGCCTGCTTCAGCTTGCTTGAAGCCAAGGTTCTCCTTTTTGGTTTTGTTTTATTTTTTTTTTCTTCTTTGTTGGAATTGTTGTTATTGCTTTGCTGGCTGGCTGGCTGGCTGTTTGGATACTCTGCTTAAACATCATTTAACAAATGTTTGAATGGTAGCGGAGCTCTTTTGTTCTGCTATTGTTTTTTGGTATTTTTTTCTTCTTTTTTTTTTTTTTCTTAAACGGATGCAGCCGCTTTTTGTTTGCCTCTTTATGATTTTTCAAATTTCTAACTTGGAAAAAAGGGCCTCGAGAGACATGGCTTTGGAGAAGGGGAATTTCAAAACTCCCCACCAACAAAATTTTCTCACACACCATAAATCTCATTTATGCTGCTGACGACTGCTGCTCCTCAAATGCGAGCGGTAACTACTTTGTTTAATTTATGATAAATTTTTTTTCGCCGCTCAAGTTTTGGGTGAACACCTTAAAAAAAAAAAATCTCAATATGGGTATCGATTGATTGTTTTTGAACTTCAAACCAGTTTTCCTACCAAAATTCAATAGAAAAATAAACTCTGGGATGACAAATGATTTTCTTCAATATTTGTTCATTGAATCCATTGATCTTTTTTTGAATATTCATTCTTAATTGTGATTTAATTTATTTTTTTCAAAATATTGAGTTTGGTTTCTTTTTTGTTGACTCATTTAATTTGATTTTCAATTGTCTCTCATAAATAAATAAACATACACATAATTATGAATTATTTTTTCAAGTGCCCCCAACTTCCCTTCTCTCTTCCTTATAATTTCAAAATACCGGAGCTTGGACTACCAGTGAAAGTTGAAAAAAAAAATTCCAAGAAGAAAATTCCTGGGAATTTTCCTAACATATCATTATTCTTGGTATGGCGGGCAGCTTCCATGCTCACTCAACACCAACACCGCCATTATCCTTGAGGGCGTGTGAATCTTTTTAGAAAAAACCCCAGCTTAGCTGGTCTTCTTCTTCTAGAAAATGCAGAAAAAAACCCACCCAACCAGTCTGCTATTCACTTTCTATAATGCTGCAATAACTAGAAAAATTAAAAGCATTTTACCATTATTGGCATTACAAAAAGTTCGCTGCGCTGAGCGCTCACCCATACATGGCCAAAATTATAACTTGCCTGCCAAGCCATCAACAACAACAAAAAAAGCAACAAACCTGAATTTTTCTTAAGAATCTTTAGCGTCTCACGTTTTTAGTGTCTACTTTTCCAGCTGGTTTTGTTTTTTCTTCCTCTTCTTCTTCTTCTGCATGGATTCCTTGAATGAAAAATCCCATCGAAACCAGCAAACAACCAGTCCTTTAAGAGGCTCTAACTTCATTATGTACTCGGATGGAGATGATGACGTTAGTCGTCTCATAACGTTTGGCACGTTTTGAGCCAAACTTAAAAAGGGCTTTAAACAGATGCCTGCCTATTCTTTTGTGGTCTTTGTTGTTGTTGTTATTTGTGAAACATGTTTTATTTTTGATGCTGCTGCTGTTGTTGTTGTTGGGTGATATTGGCCAGCCATCACCATCATCATGATTATTATTTGATGCCTTTGTTGCTGGCCTGCAAAAAGCAGATCATGATGGCATCGCGTCGTGTTTTTCTTTTAAGGCTGAGAATTTTTTGACCATGAGATTTTAGGTTTTTAAAGCAGGACAAAAAATCTATTTTTGAGAAGACGTGAAAAAAATTGGATTTTTAATAGAAAACAATATTTTAGTATTTCCAAAAAAAAAAAAAATAAATAAATAAAATAAAAAATAATAGTTTTTTAGAAAACAACATTTCACTATTTGAAAAAATTATTAAAACAAAATATATTTTTTTAGATTTTTAATATTTTAAATTTTTATTTAATTTATAATTTTCCCAAAAATGTTTCTATATCTTATTATAATATTTTTCAATATTTTATTTGTGATTTTGCCACAAAAGTTTCAATATTTAAAAAAAAAATATTTTTTCAATTTAAATATTTAAATATTTTTTTTTTTATTTTGTAATTAAAAAAATAATTTTGTATTTGATCTTAATCTTTCATCTTTTCAAATTAATAATTTTTCAATTTTTATTTCTTCTAATTCCAGCCAAATGTGCCAAAGGTTGTGAACATGGTCACTGTGATAAGCCTAATCAATGCATGTAAGTATTTGCAAATTTATTTCTTTAATTTTTAGAACTCTTCCAACATTTTCCTTTCACATATACTTTTTTATACCCACCCCCTTCCCCCCATAAAACTAAATTCCAAATTCCCAAGAATATCATTTGTCCGAAATGTCCAGAATTTCTAGGAATTTATTTTTATTGCTACTGACTTTAGACTGGGCCTCTTTTTCAAAGAGCCTTCACCTAATAATAATTGTTGCCGTTGTTGTTGTTGTCATTGCTGTTCTTGGCCATTCTTAATACAAAGAAATTTCGTATGCAAAATCCATAATTATGGCATTTTCTTTTTCCATATAAAAATCAGAACCATTTTTATTTTATTTTTGACGTCGTCGTCGAAGTAGTCTCCTCCTCTTTGGTCAAAGTATTTTTTCCCACTAAAATGCAAAAATATAAATACAAAAATAAATAAATACAAAATAAGAAGGTGGTGTAAGAAAGTGGTAGGGGAAATAAAAAATTTATAAAAAAGTTAAAAATAAATAATAAATTACAAAAAAAAAAAAAAAATAAAAATAAATAATAAATAAATTAAAATGAAAATAAATACAAAATTAAAAAGAAATATATATACAAAGTTAAAAATAAATAATAAATTATATAAAAAAATTAAAAAAATATAATAAAAAAAATAAATAAAAATAAAAATAAATACAAAGTTAAAAAATAAACAAAATTAAAAATATAATAAATTAAAAAAAAAAAACAAAAAAAAAATAAAAAAAATATAAAAATAAATTAAAAAAATACAAAATTAAAAAAATATATATAAAAAGTTAAAAATAAATAACAAGTTATATAAAAAAATATAATAGTAAAAAATAAATAAAAATAAATACAAAATTAAAAAAATAAATAAAATTAAAAAAAAACACAAAAAATTAAAAAAATAATCAAAAATATGTAGTAAAAAAATAATTAAAAATAAATAAAATATAAAAAATTATTAAGAAACAACTAAAAATCAATAAAAAAACAATTAAATATTTATTTTTAATAGTATTACAATTTTTTATATATTTTTGTTTAAATGTTTTTATTTTATAAATATTTTTTTATTTTTATTTTTTTATGTTTATTTTTATTTTTTTAATTTTAATTTTTTTTTATTTTTTTATTTTCTTTTAATTGTTTATTTTTTTAATATTTATATATTTTATTGTTTTCTTACTCCCCCCTACCACTGTATCTCTTTGCCCCTTTTTGCTTATATTTAAATATTAACTTATAAACCATTAAAAATTACAACGGCATAGTAGCACCACTTAATGTAAATATATTTAGTTTTTTTTTTTTGTTTTACAACTTGGTCAGCATTTTAAGCCTACATTACCCACCTCTGCTCCAACCGTGGCTTCTTTTTTCTTGAATACCATATGCACTAAATCTACAAAAACAAAAAAAAAGTGACATCAGATTTGCTTGCTTGCTTGCGTTTGCTTCTTTCTTGTCCATGGTCGTCGTTGTGGACATTGTCATTTCTCATATGAAAAAAAAAAAAACAACAAAAACAAAACGTCTTGCTTTGTTGTCGAATATGTAAGTGAAGTTGTTTGATTTTATGACATGTTATGTGTGTAGAATTATTAAAACATTCCCACACTTTTCGAGTTTGGCCACGAACAAGCAGCCAGCTATCGGCTGCGGCCGGCCTATAAAAGCGGATTCTTTAACGTTTAATGAAGAAGAAGCAGAAGAAACAACAAAAACAAATAGACCACTTTTTCGTCTGTCGTCAGCGTGTTGTAATGTAAAAAAGGGAGTAATGAAAGAAATCCATTTTTGTTTTATTTGGTTTTGGCACCTGTTCTCTTTTTGTTGGTGTCCCAACTGATTTCTCTTTCTCTCCCCGGTAATTCAGTAATTTTCTGAAATAAAAATTGCTTAAATTATTTAAGTATTTTTGTTTTTTTTTTTTGTGGATTTTTTAATGGGTAATTTCCGTTTGTTTGGGAGTAGTGGAAACCACAAGATTTTTGCAGATTTCAGCAAAAAAAAACCATAAAAGCAACAACCAAATCAAACTCTCCTTACCCGCACACATTCTCAAAATAATCAAGATCACCAGAAACTTTTTTTCAAACGTAGAAGATGATCATAAAAGGGAATTGAAACCGTTCTCCGTCATATAATTTTTCGAACTGAATCAGCAGTAAAAGGTTTTGTTTTACACCTGGCAAAAATTATAATATTTTTTAAGCGATGATTTTATAGTAAAAATATGATGGGATTTTTTGTTGCTGCATTTTTTTGCTTAAATGGCAGCCTGTAATTGTAAACCTTCTGCATTCCAGGGGTTTATATCAATTTTAAAACTTCCATTAGAGCTACTTGTCTTTTTTCTTTTGTTGTTGTCTTCTACTACTACTGCATAATGCCCTTTCAAACAATACCCCACCCCACCATCAACGAACGATTGGCGAACAAAAAAAAATTGAGAACTAAAACTAAATACTGCAGCATAAGGTGTGTCAAAGTTTTTCTTGTTGTTGTTTTTCTATTTTCTTTTGATATTGAGGAGTGCTTTGCTGGCTGTCTAACTTGGATGCATTATAATAATATGCAAAAAAAAAAAAAAAAAGAATTGAAAAAAAACTTGGTTATCTAGAAATACAAATCCTCAATATTTATAAAAGTTCATGCAACACTATTAGCCATATTGCGACGCCAGCTATATACCCCCACACCTGCTCCTCCTCCATTGCAAATTGTGGCGGAGTCGTAGTCGTCGACATCAAAACACTCATCGCCAACATGAGTAACTTAAATAGGTTTTTTTTGCTACTTATTAAAATCGTGCATAAATCATTTTTTCTGTTTTCTATAATCAACAACATTTTAAGTTTTGCATATGGCGCGGAGGTCTGTTTTGGGGATATTTATTGGAGTTTTATTAATTTTTTGACAAATGGTACTGGTTTTAAATAATTAACAAAGAATTAAATCATGCAAAAGAATTTCATAAATATTAAAAAAAATTATTTGAAAAATGTATTTAAAAGAAAATTATGAAATATTAGAAGAAAAGTTATAAAATTTAAAAAAGTAATAAAAAATTAAAAAAATAAAATAAAAAAGGAATAAAAATATAAAAAAACATTAAAAGAAATACAAATACAAAATATTAATAAAAAAAAATAAAAATATTAATAAAAAAATTAAAAATATTAATAAAAAAATTAAAAATATTAATAAAAAAATTTAAAAAAAATAAAAAAGTAATAGAACATTTAAAAAAATACAAAATGGAATAAAAATATAAAAAATTAAAAATAAAAAACATTAAATAAGAAATACAACGAAAAAAATATAAAAATTAAAAAAAAATTAAAGAATTAAAGAATGAATAATAAAAATATAAAAAAGCATAAAAATTGTAAAAATGAATTTTAAATTAAATATTTAATTTTTAAGTACCAAGACATTTTAATACACAAATTAGTTTTCAAAAAAAAAACATCATTAAAGATTTTATTTTAAAAATTATTATTATTATATTCATTTATATTAATATTATTATTTAATTATTATTTTATTATTATTATATTTATTATTATTATTTTTTTTTTTTTGAAGACATATTTTTTCTGATATTTTTTTGTTTATTTTCTTTTTTTAATTCTATATTTTTGCCATTGTAATTTCCACATAATTTTATTATTATTATTATTATTTTTATTATTTTTATTATTATTATTATTATTATTATTATTATTATTATTATTATTATTATTATTATTATTATTATTTTATTATTATTATTATTATTATTATTATTATTATTATTATTATTATTATTATTATTACTATTATTATTTTATTTTTTTTTTTGAAATGACACAGTTTTTTTGAGATATTTTTTTTGTTTATTTTCTTTTTTTAATTCTATATTTTTACCCTTGTAATTTCCACATAATTTTATTATTATAATTATTATTATTATTTTTATCATTATTATTATTATTATTATTATTATTATTATTATTATTATTATTATTATTATTATTATTATATTTATAATTATTTATTTATTTATTTATTTATTTTTTTTTTTTTTTGAATAGACACATTATTTTTGAGATATATTTTTTTGTTTATTTTTTTTTTAATTTTATATTTCTGCCCTTCCAATTTCAACATCAAAGCATAGCGCTCTATATCAAAATCAATTATTCATGTATTTTTTATCAATTTTCAAAAAGTAGATCTTCAATTTGATACATTTGACACAATTTGAAAGTATTGCAAATTATTTCCAATTTTTTTTTTTAGTTTTCAAAAACCTTCCTTTTAACAAGATCACTTCATTAAAAACCAAGGCTTTGGGTTTTCTTTTGCTAAACAAATTTCAAATGGTTCATTAAAGTCATAATACAACAACAACAGCAACAAAAATCAATACTCACCAAGAAAAAGCTATGAGTAAACACCCCCGGGGGCCATGACCAAAGTGTGTGAAAAAATAAATGATGGTCAAAAATGTGAGGCAAGTTATGATTATTTATTGTGTGTCCAGTGGCTTTTTGTTTAATAAAGCTTAACGAATTGGGGTTTGTTAAGGCTGCAGACACGCGTAGTGTTTCAAAAATAAAGAAAATTTAAAATTGAAAAAAAAAAATTTTTGGGCCACCTTTTTTGCTCAAAAAAATTTCTTCAATTTTCAGTTTGTACTTTTTCTCTTGAAAAATTGGAAAAAAAAGTTTATTTTTTATTCTTGTCCCATTTATTTTTTTTTATTTTCTTTCTGGCTTATGAAAAGCTATCATTGTTGTTGTTATTTTTATTATTTCAATATGTGACCATTTTTGCAAATTATTTCTCACGATTAATTTAATGTCTCCTCCACTCACACACATTCAAACGTACATATATGGGATGGTTTAAACCAGAAACCAGTCAGCTTAGCTCAGCTGTCGGTCTGTCTGTCCATACCAAAGCCGTGTTCATCCAACAACTCCGAGCTGTGTGTCATTTGTTCATTCATTATTTATTGCACAAAAATGCATTTGCAAAACATTCGCTGTCTCATACTCAAATGGCCAGGCCGAACCGGGCCGGGCATAGCCGGCCTGATGGTGATGGTGGTGGCGGTTGCATGGCCACAGACATTGTTTGTTTGATAAACGTTCTTAAAACTCACATTTCTGCACACTCATGTCTTAATTAAAAATTATGAAGCAAAAACAACAACAAACGGATCTCTTTTTTCTTTTAAGAGGTGGGGGAGTAGCCCACACTCTCTCACAGAAAACGGAAATTTCCCATAACTTCTTAGGTTCTCTTTTTTCATTTCCTCTATTTCTTCTCTCCTTTTTTAATTTCACGATTTACTAAAATTTTACTAATTTTCTCTCTCTTTTCTCTCCTTCTCTCTTTACAGTTGTCAATCTGGCTGGAAGGGACCATTGTGCAACGAATGCCAAGTCCATCCTGGCTGCATCCATGGAACATGCTCCAATCCCTGGGAATGTATCTGCAACGAAGGCTGGGGTGGCCTATACTGCAATCAAGATCTCAACTACTGCACCAACCACAAACCCTGCCGCAACAATGGTATCTGCCATAACACTGGCGAAGGCCTTTACACCTGTGACTGCCCACCCGGTTTCCAAGGACAAGATTGTGAATTTGAAATCAACTCCTGTGCCGAAGTAAATCCCTGTCAAAACTCCGGTACCTGTATCGAAGATGGCTCAAAACGTGGCTACAAATGTGAGTGCAAGAAAGGCTGGGCTGGACGTTTGTGCGAGGAAAAAGTCATCACCTGTGCCGATAATCCCTGTGTCCATGGTGCTTGTCGTGATACCACCAAAGGTTTCCAATGTGAGTGCCCCAACGGCTATAGCGGTTCCATGTGTGAAGTCCATACCGATACCTGTGCCTCAAATCCTTGTCAAAATGGTGGTACCTGTTCCGTAGGCTCAAATGGCTCCCACAAATGTCAATGTCCCAGTGGCTTTACCGGTTCCCTGTGCGAAGAGAACATTGACGAATGCCAAGGCAATCCCTGTCACAATGGCGGCACCTGCATTGATATGGTCAACCAATTTAGATGTCAATGTGTTCCTGGCTATTTGGGTTCTTTGTGTACCGAAAAAGTTGATTTGTGCCTGATCAAACCTTGTGCCAATGGTGGTACCTGCAAGAATTTGAACAACGATTACGAATGCACCTGTCGTCCTGGTTTCACTGGCAAAGATTGCTCTGTCGACATTGATGAGTGCAGTTCATCGCCCTGTCACAATGGTGGTACCTGTATGAATCGTGTCAACTATTTTGAATGTGTTTGTGCCCAAGGTTTCCGTGGTCCCCAGTGTGATGAAGAGTCCTATGCCTCGGCCACCTATGATGCCCGCCAATATGAGGCCACCACCCAGGCCAAGCCAAGAAGTGATGGCCTTACCAGCGGCCAGGTGATATTGATTGCCATACTCTCCGTTGCCATGCCTTTGGTGGCCGTCATTGCTGCCTGTGTTGTGTTCTGCATGAAACGTAAACGCCGACGTGATCAGGAAAAGGATGATGCTGAGGCCCGTAAGCAAAATGAACAAAATGCCGTTGCCACACTCCATCACAATACCGGGGGTTTGTCCAGTGTTGCCGTTGCCGCCTTGGGTGTAAAGAGAGGTAGCAGTTCCGGTCTGACTTTCCATAACTCCAATCCCAACATCATTAAAAATACCTGGGATAAATCGGTCAACAACATTGCCAGTTCGGGTTCCACTGACGACTGTCTGATGAACACCTCCCTGTATGGTGGAGCCATGTCTAACTATGCTGCCGATAACAATGCCAATTCGGAATTTTGTGGTGTTGGCCAGATTCAGCCATTGCAAAGGGCCAAGTCCCAAAAGCAGTTGAACACTGATCCCTCCCTTATGCACAGAGCCTCCCAACTAATGGGTGCTGTTGGTGGTGGCGCTGCCGTTGCCAATAGCAATGCCACACATGCACCAACCAAAGATTATGGAGCTGCCGGTGGTAGCTCCTCGTCTGGTGCTGCCGGTGAGGGCAAACGGATCTCAGTTTTGGGCGAAAGTGCCTATTGTTCTCAGAGATGGCCATCATTGGCGGCCCAGGGTGTGGCCGGTAGTTGTGGGGCGGCTGCCTCAAGTTCAGCAGCCAGTGTGGCGACGTCAGGCCAAAGATCCATAGTATGTGGTACTCCTCATATATAAGACACAAGCACACACACACACACACTCTTAGGAAAAACAAAATGTAGGCAAAACAACAAATTTATTTAGGTGTAAAGTTTTAATGAAGAAAAGAAATGAAACGATGAAGATGATGAAGATGATTTAAGGAAACCAAGCGCTGTTGAATATTTTTATAAAATATGTGTTTAATTTTTTTTAAATAATTATCACACACACACTCTCACCAACCACATCCAAACAAAATAATAACTCATAAAAACTTATTTTTTTCCTGCTCTCTCTATCCAAAAGACCTAATACAAAACAGACCTCAAGAAATAGTTTTTCTTTTCATTTTTCCCCCAACACTCTCCTTTCTCTCTCTCTCTTTTCCACATTTGTGTTTATAACAAAAAGCCTGCTATACTACTTTTTTATATAAGTTTAAAGAAACATGGACTGATTTATATGAAAAAATATTAAACTCTAACAATTGTGTATAAAAAAAACAAAAACTAAAACTAATTATTCTTACAAAAAAACAACAAATGGAAAAAATGTTTATTAAGTGTAACAACAAGATTTATTCTCAAGAATTTTTCTCCTTAACACTCACACTCACATTCCTTTTTACTATACTTTTTACTTAAACTGCTACGAATTTGAATTTCCACCCCACTCCATTCTCTCTTTCTAAAACTTTCCAAAGATTTTGAAGCTGATTTTTTATGTAAATTTATATTGACTCTTTGAAATACCAAAAAACCCCCAATTCAACTCAAAAAGACAAGGCTTTTTAATCTTTCCCCTTTAAAACCAAAACTATTTCCCTTCCTTCCTTCCTTCCTCTTCTCACCACTCACCACTTGACGCATGTTCGAAATTTATAAAAAATTCTAAAATATTTTTTTGTATATATAGAAATATTGGGTATTCCTTAAACCCCTAAACCTCCCTCCCTACCCCAACAAATTAATATATTTTTTATAAAATATATTTCCTCCCCTCCTTTCCCCCACAAAAATTATTTTTATTTAGCTTTTTTAAGTGTTTTTTCGGCTCTTTTTTGTGCAAAGAGCATTTGAAAAAAAATGTAAATATTAGTTTTAATAATTATAAATATAACTATATATATATATAAACTACTATTAATTATTTTAAGTTTAGCTTATAGAAAACAAACAAACGAATTGGAAAAAAACAAAACAAACATAAAAACCCCAAAAAATAACTATTTGACCTTAAACGAACTCTATTTGTAAACAAGTTTTTTTTAGTATTTTATGTTCATTTTTTAAGATATTTTTTTTCTTTATAGTTTAATTTAAAACAAACAAACGAATTATATTTTATAGTAAACAAAACCGCAAAACAAACCGAAAAACAGAAAAAAGACATTTTGGAAAAAAATCCTGCAAAATTTTTTCTCCATCCATCCATCTATTATTTTTTGTGCTCTCTTTCTCTAAAAATAGTGATCGATTCTCATATTATTTTTATAATTTTTTTATTTACTATTTTGTTTGAAATTTCTATACAAAAAATACCGACATAAAAAAACATTGAAAAAAAACCAACAAAAAATAATAAATTTTATATTGAAAAAATTTGTAAAAAAAAAAACACAAAATTCTTTTTATTTTACGATAAACCGAAAATATTGAAGCTGAAATAATTTCATGGGAATTTGGGGTAATTTTTTTTTTGGATTGATGGGTTCTGAAAGGCAAACATCTTCCGAATATTTTTGGTTGGGGAAATTGATTTTGGAGATCTCTTTATAATGCCTTGGGAAAATACAATCGCTTTTGGAATAAGAACTCCTGGAGGTATTTGATTACCCACTTAACCCTCATAATCCCTGGGGGACTTCAGACTTTCTCTGTGTCTCATAAGAATCAGAGACTTTTATTTGTCAGATTGAGGGTATATTTTCTCACACTAAATACCCAACAAATCAAATAACGGACCTTAGATTTGTGCCTCTGCCTCTCCGATATATATCCGAATTCTTTGTCAATTTTTCGGATGACTGTTTTTTATAAAAACTTTTTTTTTTAATTATTTCCGCCGTGTCTGAAGGATTTTTTCTTTTTAATTTTTTTTGGGAAATTTTATTAAAAGTATTTTCCATTCAGCTTAAAATTAATTTATTTTGGGCGAATATTTTTGACAACAAACATATGATTGCACTAAAAACAAAACTGTATTATGATGTCTACTTTTAGGGGCTATTGGGAAATGTTAATACAATTAGCACGAGTAAGTTTCATCCTCTGGAATTTGAGGTTGTTGTAGCTGTTGGCGCCCTTCGTTGGAATAGGATTGTTAATGCTTGGTAATTTAAAAAATGCTCTGCCATTTTCCAAATGCCGGTCTTTTTTAAATGGATTGAATTGTATGGTTTTTTTTAAAGAATTGATTATTTTAGCTAAAAGTGTTTTTCCTTTCTGTTCTGTCATCTTTCAGCACAAATTTCTTGTGGGCGAATACTTTTGACAACAAACATATGACTGCGGAAAAATTGTCTTATGATGCCTACTTTTAGGGGCTGTTGGGAAATTTTAATGCGATTAGCATGAGAAAGTTCCTTCTAATGGAGATTTGAGGTTGTTGTTGTTAACGTCCTTTATCTAGCATCCTTTATCTTGAGAGGTCCTGGAATGAAGTCCTTAAAAGTTGATGCATATCAAAATTTTCCAAGAATTTCGGAGAGAAATCTTTACGGAATATCGCTGAGGTCTCTCCATCTCCAAATTTCCCCAATTTCGGTTTGAATTTTGTTGCTGCTCTATATCTTGTGGTTGAATATTTTTAGAGCAAACATATGATTTCAATAAAAAATAGTTTTGTGATGTCTACTTTTAGGGTCTGTTTGGAAATGTTAATAAAAATGGCATACGGCTTCTCCATCTTGCATTAATTGAAAGCCTAAGATGCCGAGTTAAAAGTCCTTGGTTGATAATGAATCAAGTCTATTACGGGTCGTTGGCCCAGTTGAAACCCATTTTGAAAATGGTCAAATTTTTTTCTGTCATGTATTCTGGGGTAAGTCTGATTGCTGGGTACAGCCTCAAAACAAACTCGATCCGGCAAGGATAATAATTTCTCCAAGTAATTAGGCGATTTGTGCTTCGGATCTTGACTAATTTTAGTGTATTATATTTTGTCCAATAGGTGGCGTTTCAAAATATGCATGTGAGGTCCTTCTATTAGTTTGATTTCCATCAGCTTCGTCTTAACTTCCTTATAAGTAAATTAAATATGATATCATAGTGAAGTTGGGACATATGATATATCAAAACCATAAATCGACGTCATATGCCTAAAATGAAACGCCACATGTCGGGAAAATTTACAAACTACAATTAGCCAGGATTCGCACCAATAAAACTACAGAATTGTTTGGAGAAGTTGTCATCAGCTCACATCCAATTATTCGGGAATCATAATTCAGGAATTCGAACAGGCATTCTTCGGGTTTGAGATTTTCTCAATTTTTTTATAAAGTTACAGAATCTATTTTCCAAGCCATCAAACCATTTCTAAATTCCCCTACAGCTTCAACACAAGTCAAAATATTTAGTTTTTTTTTTAATATTATTTCAAAAAGGCAAATGATCTCAGAAGAAAAAGGAATAATGAAAATTAAAATGTTATTTTAGAATGTGAAAAATCTTTGTAAATAAAAAATGAAAATGTTCCTCAGTAGAAATAAAAAATATACAAATAAACTTATGTAAAAAACTAAAAAAAAATAACCTTGATTATACAAATGTGAAAAAATTGAGAATTATGTTTTATTTTTTTTTAATATTACATTTTTATTGTTGAATTTTTAATTATGTTAAATATTTTTTTTTATAAATTTTAATGACATTATTTTTTAAAACTTTTATTTTTTTAAATCTATTTTTTATTATTTCTTAATTAATTATATGTTATTATTTTTAAAATAAAAAGTCTCCCCCGAAATATACTTTATTAAAATAAACACACAAAACATATCGTGTAAAATTAGCAAAGAAACAAACAGAAATTGTATGTATGTATCTCCTTTAATTTTGATATAAGTCTACAATATATATTTAAAAAACAAATAATATACATAGAAATATATATATATAAATAAACGAAAAATATTTTTTTAGTCTTAAATTTTAAATGTATAAACAAAAAGATGTATTTAACAAAAGACAAATAAAATAAGAAAAAAACAAAAAATATATGAAAAAATGATAGTGAAGAAAACAATATAAATGAAATAAAGAAATATAATTTTTATGAAATGAAAATGTAAAATCTTTTTTATTTACTCGAGGAATGGGGGTGTGAGGGAATAACTACAAAATATTAATGTTTATGAAGAAATTTGGAAAATGGACGATATTTAAACAAAAACTTTTTAAGGACTTCGGTCATACATCGATTTTTTATAAACTTGGATTTTTAAAAATATTTCTTCAAGGATTACCAACAAACGTGGATTTGTTAAAAATAATTTTTCAGAGACTACCAACAAACGTGGATTTTTTAAAAATAATTTTTCAGAGACTACCAACAAACGTGGATTTTTTAAAAATATTTTTTCAAGGACTAACAAAAAAAAAACGTTTTTTTTTTAATATTTTTTCATGGACTGCCAACAAACATGGATTTTTTAAAAATATTTTTTCAAGGACTACCAACAAATGTGGATTTTTTAAAACAACTTGTTTCAAGGACTGCAAAAATTGAATTTTTTATATATTTTTCAAGGACTACCCACAAACGTGGATTTTTTAAAAATACTTGTTTCAAGGACTGCAAAAATTGAATTTTTTATATATTTTTCAAGGACTACCCACAAACGTGGATTTTTTAAAAATAGTTGTTTCAAGGACTATCCTCAATCGTTGATTTTTTAAAAATACTTGTTTCAAGGACCACAGAAATGGATTTTTAAATGTTTTTTCAAGGACTAACAAAAAACGTGGTTATTTAAAAAATATTTTTTCAAGGACTACCAACAAACGTGGATTCTTAAAATATTTTTTCAATGACTACCAACAAACGTGGATTCTTAAAATATTTTTTCAATGACTACCTATAAACGTGGATTCTTAAAATATTTTTTCCAGGACTACCAACAAACGTGGATTTTTTAAAAATATTTTTCAAGGACTACCAACAAACGTGGATTTTTTAAAAATATTTTCAAGGATTACCAACAAACGTTGATTTTTTAAAAATATTTTTCAAGGACTACCAACAAACGTGGATTTTTTATAAATATTTTTTCAAGGACTACCAACAAACGTGGTTTTTTTAAAAATATTTTTCAAGGACTACCAACAAACGTGGATTTTTTAAAAATATTTTTTCAAGGATCTATAAATAAACGTGGATTTCAGAAATTAGTTTTTCAAGGACTACCAACAAACGGGGATTTTAAAAAATATTTTTTCAAGGACTACCAACAAACGTGGATTTTTTAAAAATATTTTTTCAAGGATCTATAAATAAACGTGGATTTCAAAAATTAGTTTTTCAAGGACTACCAACAAACGTGGATTTTAAAAAATATTTTTTCAAGGACTACTAACAAACTTGGATTTTTTAAAAATATTATTTCCAGGACTACCTACAAACGTGGATTTTTTAAAAATATTTTTTCAAAGACTTCCAACAACCCAGGATTTTTTAAAAATAGTTTTACAAGGACTACCAACAACCCAGGATTTTTTAAAAATAGTTTTTCAAGGACTACCAACAAACGTGGATTTTAAAAAAATATTCTTTCAAGGACTACCAACAACCCAGGATTTTTTAAAAATAGTTTTTCAAGGACTACCAACAACCCAGGATTTTTTAAAAATAGTTTTTCAAGGACTACCAACAAACGTGGATTTTTTATAAATATTTTTTCAAGTACTATCAACAAACGTGTTTTTATAAATATTTTTTCAAGGACTACCAACAAACGTGGATTTTTTAAAAATATTTTTTCCAGAAATACCAACAAACGTGGATTTTTTTAAAATATTTGCTCAAAGACTACCAACAAACTTGGATTTTTTAAAAATATTTTTTCAAGGACTGCCAACAAATGTGGATTTTTTTTAAATATTTTTTCAATTTTGTTGTTTCAAAATGGTCAGGTTTTATCCCTTTATTGTTGTTTTTATAAAAACAGCAATAAAAGGGTAAAGCCTGACCATTTTGCAACAACAAAATACTACGGTATCCCGAACAAACAAGCCACACTGTTCTATT